AGGGTGTAAAATGACTTCTTCTTCTCAGTGTTGCCCTGCCTACCCCACCTCTACGCACCTGACTTACTTATCTCCTGCTCCTCTCCCCAGATGCTCCAGGAAAGACCAACTGGGCGTTATCTTGCCTCATCTCCAGGCCCCTGCAATCACTCCTCCTTCTGCTGGAAATCTCCTCCCCAGCCTTCCCATGGCTGCTTTCTTCTCTCCACTGACTTCATCTTGTCAGAGAGAAGTCCCCTCAGCACCCAACTTTGAGTAACCACCCAGCAACACTGTCCTAAACACAATTTCCTTCATAGAAATTATCACTCTATATAAATATCTTAATTATTTGTTTAATGTCTCCACATTTGACAGTTTGTTTGTCTTATCTAGAACAATACTTGGCTCATAGGAAATGTCTAGACGTTGGTGGGCACCAGAATACCCTGCAGTGTTATTTTAGGAGTTTCAGTGGGTCCTCCTCCTGCTGTTTTTCCACCTGCTACTTCTTCTCTTCCTTTTCTCCTCCTCTTTTCTCTTCTTCCTTTCCTCCTTCATTTCTTCTTCTGTCCACTCCTCCTTCAAATCTGACCAGTGCCCTTTGTGCCTCCATTGATGCTGTAGATGACCTATGTCTCACATTAATCTTTCTAAATTGTTAGAATCACAGTGCAAATGCAAAAGCTGAAATCTCAGTTTGATCATCTCTAGTAAGGCTTGATGTTTAGGTATCATTGTAAATCGCGATGCTGTGATGGAATGATAATGTGAGTCTGTTTCTGAGCTTCTTGTGTTTGTTTCACTGTATCGCTATGGTGGTTTTTAGTCTTTCAGACATTTTAACCTATGCTTAATTATGCTCATTCCCAGAAGCTTCTTAAAAGAAAATGGTACAATTTCTAAAAAATCAAATAAATAATACACATGAGGTCTGCTAGGACTTGATAGGAGCCTATCTGAGCAGTTGAAGGAATGACTGCCATCAGAGAGCCTGAGAAGGAGGGTTTTAGAGAATCACTGCCTTTCCTTCCAGCATTCACAGCCACTCAAGACAAATCTCTGAACCCTAGGAAGATAGAGTCTTTGCCAACCCTGTGCCCTAGCTTCTCCTCTCAAATTGGAATTGAATCTGCTCAGCTGAGTTGTTTTTCATTACCAGTTTACCAAGAAGGATAACTGTGATTCATCTTTCTTCCAAAGGAGGCAACATGGAGTCCATCCAGGAGCTTTGGGGAAAGGGACAAAGAGGCTGTCCTGCTACTCTGTACTAACAGCAAGGAACAGTGTAAGGTTGGGACATCTTATGTCCCTTTCTAGGGCACCTGGAACTCTTTCAACTTGTGAATAGACATCTGCTGATTTTGCCTATCTGGAACCCAGTCACTCCCTGCCACACTTTGAATCTTCCCTTATGGCGAGCAGTCAAAGGGACCATCAGTTAAGGCTCGTCACTCTTATCTAGCCAAGAGGTTGGAATGAGGTCCAAGCTGGGTCAATCAGATTTGCATAGGAATTTTAACCTTGAACAAGAAAAGGAGAGAAATTGAAGGTGACATGAAACACTGGTACTACCCTAAAAAAACTGTCCATTACTTCCTCCTGCTTAAATTCTCTGGTTCCAGTACTTTCTGATACTTGATTTTCAGCATTGGCTTTTGCTAAATGGCTACTACATATCCTTCAATTAATTCCTCTTTTCCCTTGTGAGCTGCCAGAGTAAAATATGTAACTTTCAACAAAAGGATCCTAAATTATAGACTTTTTAAGCAATGCAGTCCAGAGTTTGACACCTGCTCCCACCACTGAGGCCTCAGTATGTGTTTATCTTATATGTCCTTGACTAACTCTGGTATTAGCGTAAATAATGCCCAAATAATTATCTCTCCTCCCCACCCCAAAAGAATCTGAGTCACTTCTCCCTCTGATCTGCCATATAATTCTCAAGTAGGCAACACAAATGGCAGTTGCAAAGGCTAAGGGGAAAAGGGTGTTAAAAAAAAATCTTATCTGTCTTAAAAGTCATGAATGAAATAAAGGAAACTGTGTTCATAGCACCTGACTCACATGATTACTGTGGGTGAGCCATCAATATGTAGATAGAAAGAAAATAATTGGCATAAGCTCCTTGAAATTTCTGCCTACAGCCTCCCCAAGGAGGCCTTGGGGAGATTCAGATAGCATTTGAACAGCTAGAGTTTAGTAATAAGAACTGACATTCTAGTATGTAGTACAAAAGACACTTCCCTTCCGGAACCATGAAAAGTACTTTAATCAGCCAAAACGTTGCTACTGTAAAAAAAAAAAAAAAAAAAATAGGAGGGGATAAAAGCCCCCTCATTTGTTGTTTCTCCACCACTGCTAGGCCCAACTCCTACTAAATGGACGAGCCCCTTTGGCATCATCTATGCCTACCTCATTAATGCCATTTGCTCACTGCTATGCCAGAAAACCCAGCTGATTCACAGGAAACCCTGAGCTGAAGGTTGCCTGGGTTTCGAGTTGCTTATGCACACAATTCACACTCCATGTGTTAGAAGCCCCCTCTGTTCTGCAAATCACTCAGTGAGCCTGAAAAGTGGGAAACGGCTTTGTACTCTCTCTCTCTGGCTCCTCCCTGAGCAGTCAAACCCCAGGGTGCCCCCGGAATATTTGATTCCTTGTAAACTCAAAACAACCATCACAAAGAAGGAGAAAAGGTTAAACCCCCAAGCGAGACACCCAGAATGAACAGCCTGAGAGATTGGAAAAGGTAAGCTGAGAAAATACTCAGATTCCTCTAGCAAAAGCTAAAGCTAAAACAAGGCTTGTTTCATGCCCAAGGCAGGAAGTTAAAGATTGAGCCAGTTCCATTCTGAGAGGTTCATTGGAGGGTGAGGTCTCCTTCTCCATTCGCACCCCCTCTGTCGTCCTCTCTGGTATCCAGTCTTCCTCCTGGCATGCTGTTTTTCTTTGTCCCCTTCCTCCTAGCTGAAGCAAATACTCTGTTACTAATAATCGTGGTTACCCGTGTCATTAACAGACAATATTTTCAAGGCAATAATCATAGAATATCTAAGTGAGGCATGAGATTCTGAGGACTTTGGATATATATGCAGATTGCTTTGTAGAAATAGCCAAACACATCCTTTAATGTGTGTGCAGAATCTAAGAACTAAAATGTGAAATCACACCCCTTTCCTGAGGGAATCCTGCATTGACTTACTGTTTCGTGTGGGTTATAAAGACCTAGTCCCCTTGCCCTGATTCAGGACATCTCTGAAAATCCATTCCAGCTCCAGAGTGCCCCCTGTAAGACATGGGGAAAAAAAACAAAACAAACAAAAAATGCCATGCTGTGTTGCAGTCCAATATCTCCCTCCACTCAGTACTGCTTTACTTACTCCCTCAGCAATGTTGACCCAATAAACTTATTGCGTTAATTTTTAAAAAAAAAACTAGAAAAGACTGAAGAGGTCTTAAAACCCAACCCCCTACCCAGTCTACCCAGTAGGACTCACTTCTGTGCTATCCTAGAGATAATCAAATGGACTTCCCTTTAACCTTCCAAGTGTTTGAGGTTCCCACATTCTTACAAAGAATTGAAGAAGAGAAAATGTTCCTTGGGGTAGGCAAATCTCTGACATCAGAGATGTTTGACACCATGGAATTCTATAAGATGATGAACTATGGGCCAGAAAGAAAGAACAGCTTCTTGACCAAAGGGTGCTACATAAAATTATTAAAATGTGATGGTCAGCCAGGTGAGATGTCTCATGCCTGTAATCCCAGCACTTTGGGGGGCTGAGTTAGGCAGATCACATGAGGCCAGGAGTTCAAGACCAGCCTGGCTAACATAATGAAACCTCATCTCTACCAAAAAATACAAAAAATTAGCTGGGGACAGTGTGGTGGTGCATGCCTGTAATCCTAGCTACTCAGGAGGCTGAGGCATGAGAATAACTTGAACCTGGGAGGCGGAGGTTGCAGTGAGTCAAGATTGCGCCACTGCACTCCAGTGTGGGTGACAGAATGAGACTGTCTCAAAAAAAAAAAAAAAAAAAAGAAAGAAAGAAAAGTGATGGTTCAGTATATGCGAGTATCAAAATGCTGGCAAAGAGAAAACATCAAATAGTACCCTGGTACTGTGGACTGAATGTTTGTGTCCCTCCAAAATTCATATCTTAAAAACTAATCCTCTGTACAGTAGTGTTAAGAGGTAGGGACTTTTAGGAGATGGTTAGGTCACAAGGACTAACAATGAGTGGTATTAAGTAACTTTGTAAAAGAAACCTGAGGGAGCTTGTTTGCCCCTTTTGCCATGTGAAGACACAGCAAGAAGATGCCGTCAGTGAAGTAGAGAATGAGCCCTCACCATACACCAAATCTGTTCGTGCTTTGATCTTGGGGCTTCCCAGCCTGCAGAACTGTGAGCAAGAAATTTCTGTTTATAAATGACATAGTCTAAGGTATTTTTATAGTAGCCCAAAGAGACTAAGACACCTAGCATCCTTTCCCTTATAAAGCCAAGCTAATGAAGGAATACAGTGGGCAATTCTGCCAAGAGTGGTATGCAACACAGGGAATTTATGATAAAAGGCCAAGGAAATGGGTAAGAAAAAAGGAGCTGAGAATACAAGGACACTGCAGAGAGAGCCATTAAACAAGCGTCATGCTCCTGGCTTATCTCCTTTGCACACTGAGCTCCCAGAGGCTTCCAACAGAGCTCAGCACAGTGAAGACCAACACAAAGAGAGTTTGGCTTGTCACATGTCTAGCACGGCAGACAAAAATTGAAGGAGAGGCTCTAAAACATGGAGCTGATTTCTAATAGTGAATCTGGATATTATTTTTTGCAGTTACTATATGCAGCCATGGTTATCAAATTTTTGGGTTTTTTGTTGTTGTTGTTGTTGTTGTTTTAATAAAGACAGGGTTTCACCTTGTTGGCCAGGCTGGTCTTGAACTCCGGACCTCAGGTGATCCACCCGGCTTGGCCTCCCAAAATGCTGAGATTACAGGCGTGAGCCACCACGCCCAGCCAGTTATCAAATTTTTTGATATGACCCAAACTAAAGATGGAGAAAAAGTGAGCTGATGATGAGTTGGCATGGATCTTCTTTTGTTGGGAGAAGAGGTTTTATCTGAGATCAGACTCTAGATTGTAAAAGAAAACTCCCCACAAAGGAACAGGAAGTATGTATGAGTGTGTGTAGTATCCAGAACAAGACATTAGGAGTAGTAAGACCTGTGGATCTTTGTAAAATATATTCCAAACACTTTGCTGGCTAAACGATTATGTTTGCGGCTAAATTTCACTGCTGGTCTGCCAGTTTGCAACCCCGCTCTAAAAGGTGAATGTCTTCCCAGATAATCTCAAGCAATCATCTGCTGCTCACACTCAGGGGGTGAATTGATGGCCTCACAGTTAGGCTTCTGTTTTATTCCTTGTCAAAGTATAGCCTCCCCCTCCCCTCCTCCCACTGCCGCTGACTCTTCTCTGGTGTTTGCTGCCACCATCCCTATCATCATTTCTAGATTAGAAAAGAAAGCCAATGCAACTGCCAAAAGGGAGAAGAAGAAAGAGACCAAAGTGGGAAAAGTGGGAAAAGAATGTTGAATAACATTAGCAGAAAACTAAAGGTAGGGTGAATACTATTCCTCCAAGGTTGCTCAGATGTAATATCTCAGCTATTTATACAGAATCTGACTTTAGCATCTGAAGGTGGCTTCCTCATTCTTGAAGAAAAGGAAAGCATGGACATCTATTCAACACCTGGACCATGTCAACCAAATGCCAGCTACCTTACCCCGAGGGTCCCACAAGAAAGCAGGGTGGGGATGTGATCAAACTCTACACATTTTAGCCCTTGAAGACTCTCATTCTAAGGCCACTGCTCAGCTAATTTTCATTATTTAACAAGTCAATATGGCTATGAAAGCAGGAATGCAGGAACCAAAGGAGTAATCCATACATTAAATGTTTGAAACCAATAATAATACAGACTAAAACTTAAAGAACTTAGGCTTAAACTGTCAACATGTGTACAAGAAAATTACTTCTGTTTTCAAAGCTCCTAAGCAAAGGCCCCACCTTGCAATGCCACACACTGTTCTATTTTCTGAGGCTGTGATCAAAAGCACATACAGGCACTAAGTACCTGAGATGAAAGTGGGAAGAAAGAGAATAAATTCAAAATCAAAATCAAATGGAGTCATTTACAACAGGGCCACCCAAACTTCACATTGGTAAGGAAACAGAAGAATTTTTTTTAAGCAGAAACATTTTCTGGAATGATTTCTCTAACCCATTTACTTTACAGATAGAAAGACTAAGGTTAAAAGTGGTTATGCAATGACACCGTATCTTAGTCAGCTCGGGCTGCTAGAACAAATTACTGTAGACTGGGTGGCTTACACAATGTTTATTTCTCATGATTCTGAAGATTGGGAGGTTCAACAGCAAGGATCCATTGGCAGATATGAAGTATGGTGAGAACCATCTTTCCGGTTTGCAGACAGCTGTCTTCTCTCTGTATCCTCACAAAGCAGAGAATAGAAAAAGGAATCAAGAGCTCTCCTGGCTCTTCCTACGTAGGCACTAATCCCATTCATGAGGGCTCCAATCTTGTGACCTAATAACCTCCCAAAGTCTCCACCTCCCAATGCCATCACACTGGAGGTCAGGATTTCAACATATCAGTTTTGGGGGGAACACAACAAGAAGTCCATAACAGATCAACTTTATGTGCTAATTATTACTTCAGAACTTGAAGATGTTGAGTCATGTCGTAGTTTCCATTTCGAACTTCATCTCCAATTGGTTAAATAATTTCATCTCATTCCTGACATTGTGTCTCCACTTCTCCCTATTTAAAAACTCTCTTTAAACTCCTAAAACTCTACATTCAGTTTGACAATTATGTATTAAGCACCTCATGTATACCCAGCTCTATTCTAGGGGCTGGAGATCCAGTGGAGAGGGGTCCATGGAGGGTACGATGAGCAAGGAGCTTATGCTCTGAAGGGAAGATGCTTAGAAGCATTAGTTGGCCAAGAATATCAAATATATTAATCTTGTCTTGTTGCAGTTAATTTCTATGTAACTTAAGTCATCTCATTCCTTTACATAGGTGTTGTTACATAAAAAGAACTTGGGTTTTCTCAGAAACTAGACCCAAAGACGTCACTTGTAATATGTATCAGTATTATTGTTATCACAGGATTAAAAATAGCAATGCTAAGGCAGGTCACAGACATTGTTTACATCCACCTTATGACCTATATCAGCAGTCTACATAAGAATCCAGCAGTGTTTGGAATGGATCACTGAGGGGCACTGGAAGAGTATTAGTAGTAGACTGGTAAAAAGGAAAAGAAAAAAAGAAGAGAAAGAATGAAGAAAAACAACCAGGAGGGAGGAAAAAATAGCACTAATAAAAAGAAGACGGAGCTAGAGAATGAAGTAGAGAGAGGCAGAGAAAGCATACGGGGACCAGGCGGAGGCCAGGAAGGAAGACCTAGGCACATCATTTAAGGAGGCGCTCATTCTTGAAGTCATGCAAGGCCCTAGACATCTTGCTTCCCCGCCCTTGTCCCAGCTCTGGCACCAAGGGTCCCTTAGTGACCACATCAGTGCCACTGGTACCCAACACTGGCCGGTAACACATGTAATACCATTTGTGCGTAGAGGAAGAAAAACTGCTACATTAAGTTCTCTCTTTTATGCCACTCCTTCCTAAAGCTGCTCTTTCATTCCAGGCCACACCAAGGTCTCCTCCTCTCCATTCAGGCTTGGTGAGCTGTTGAGCACTTAGGGATTGTTGCTTTATCGCTGTAACTTTTGTGTCTCCAACTAGTGTGTGAGCAATCTGAAGACAGGCACCATGTCTAATTGTCCTGAAGGCCAAGGAAAGGGATGGGTATGCAGTAGCTTCTCATTAAATGACTGAATAATTGATTGATTGGTTAGTTGTGATGATACTGCTCATTGGCAGAGCTGGAAACAGAGATAATGAACTTCAGCTCCTTATTTGACCTTGGGCCATCCACTCATGCCTGCATCCCCTGAAATACAAGAGATTCCCCATCCTGTTCCCCTAAGCACCCACATCATCACATACAACAGGTATTATGAGAAGAGCTAAGGGCGATACTACATTTGTATTAGAAGCCCCAATGAACAACACCAGGAAAGGCAGAATATAAAACAATCCTCTCACGAAAAAAAAAAAAAAAATTGAGTTTACTATTATCTTTACTTTAATAAGAGAATGCCCAGATTGCCATATACTCTCACTTATAGGGGGAAAAAAATTCTACTGTGCATGCAGCTGGAATTCAAAAGAACCAAATTCCATAGAAAATTCCCCATTTCCAATCCAGTTAGACTATTGTTAGTTGAGATTTTAATCCCAACATCACAAAGGAATTAAAGTCTTTGGGTCTTTATATGTTTTGTAAATAATCCTTTAAACACAAGGAGGAGCTTTAACCACTGTATAACACCTGTCTAGGACATGTAATACCTGCCCTGGTCCTTCAAGCCAGCCTGGTCCATCTGCTTGGCACACGCAATCTGGCCTATACAGGTGAGTAGTGGACAACCGCAGGTAGTTAGGACAACCACCCTCAAACATCATTTACTTGATTTAAACATGCTCAGAATCTGACCGTATCTTGGCACCACTTGTAAACTACTAGATCTGCACCCCTTTTTTGGTCATCTTCTTTAGACTCGTGTTTGGGCAAGGTCTCCCTGGTGTTGGTCCTCAGTATGCTCCTCTGGGCTCCCATGGGCGGCACAGCTCTTGCCCCATGAGACATGCCACATGGCTGGTATTCCAACTGAGCCAACCTCGGTGGCCCTGTGAACACAGTGACAGACACTGGGAAGCCATTCACAAACCAGAATGAAGCACTCGCTAAAGTGTCAGTTGGACTGGAGCAAGGTCTGCACATGGCTGGCAGACGAAGTGAGGCAGAACCCCCATCCCTGCTGGTATTTCAATGTTTGTACTTGGGGTCTGAGGGGCCCTCAAGGAAATACATGATTTCTGTGTACTGATGGGGTTCAAATATGCACCCAGACATGATGCCTCTGACAGAGCAGGAAGGAAGGGAGAAGGGGAGGCAGTTTGCATGGAGGAAAGGCAGGCACCTGAGAAAGACCAGACCATGAGGAAAAGACCCTGGAGTGTGTGGACCAGACTCGGTAATAGGCCCTGAAAAGCTCAGGGAAGTCAATGGTTCTGACTCAAGCTGGTGGCAGATATTTGAGCACTCCCCACTCAGATGTCAGACATGTGTGTACCAGTGACAGAAAGGATAGAATGTGTGAGATGCAAGGGCTGGTCCTATTAAGCCCTATGATACCCTGGGGTCCAAGAAACCCTACTGTGGGACCCCCACTAAGTGAACACAATGCCAAGGAAGAACAGCTCTCCTCTTTTTGCCAAAGCCTGCCAAGGTGTCAAGGCTTGAGAAAGAGTGGTGGGTGCCGCAACAGAGATCAAGTTCAGCCATCAAGGCTGAGCAACAGTGCAGCAGCTCAGCCCAGAAGACTGGGCCGGTATGCAGGCCTATGTTACATGCCTCTTGGGAACTCTTAGGAATATCTTTTGAAGAGGTGCAAGGGATGTAAGGGAAACTTGGCAAAGTTTTACAGAATTAGTGGAGATGTGAGTACCAAATACAATGGGACCTTGCTCACCTGCTGGTAAAGCTTGAAGATCATTTAGTTACACCAGAGGAGTCCCAGATATTCTAGTCCCTTTTTAAGGGCGTCATGAGATATCTGATCTACCAGTCCTGCTACTCTGCTCTGTCCTAGTAATCAGAGGTTCCTAACCTGGCCACCGTCAAAAACATGAGCTTCCATGATTACAGAGAAGGACTTTCTCCCATGTAGAGAAGTAGGAAGCAGTTGGCAACTACCACATCCACATAGGCTCCTTCACCCCATCATCAAGGTGCCCTGTGCTATCTGTAATAGCCTTCCCTCACCCTGGTAAAGGTGATGCAAAGCCTTTACTCCACACACCCATCCAACCTGAGCTTTGTCATCTGACGTACTCACATGGGGTCTTATTGGACTCTATGCACCCCCAGCTCAAGAGGATGACAGGCGAAACTTACCATCAGTATCTCTCTTCCTCCTACACGTGCCTCCGGTTTCCTCCCCGGCCCTCCAAGCTTACAGTCTGTTTCCTTCTGTGGTGAAGTTGAGCAAGTCCTGATGCTTGGGGTGGAGAGCCATGAATCATGAGTGAGAGGCTCTGGGAACACCAAGTCTGTACCACTCCACTTACAAGTCCTAATCTGCCTTGTGGGATCCAACTCTGACCCCAGTGGAGTTCTTTACCCATGACTGATGTCCTCAGGAATGTGTCTGTGGGAAGAAAAGTCTCAAACGCCAGGGAATGGAGCCGTCGATGATTTCCTTCCTATGTTGGAGTGCAAGACAGCCCAAAGGCTGGAGCACTCCCTAAGTAAGCAGGCAGAGACAAGACCTGAGTCCTACTGCTGAGTCATTTAAATCTACTTTAGCTCTGGTTTTCTCAGGGTAAGGAAAGGACAGGGCTCCCAGTGGAGATATCATGTAGCCAGGGCCTAGAAGTATTTTTTCAGTAGATGAAATTTAGAAAGAATTTGAATATTTTATGCTAGAGAGGTAGGTTGCTGAGTGAGATGGTCGGGGAAAGGAAACATTGAGTTCAAGTGATTCTAAAGGACACTTAACTGATCTAAATATTTGTCAAGCTGAATCGCTACATCCACTCTCACCTGCCTGAAATCAATATGGTCAAGTCAAACGCATTTGCCTGCATCTGAGTGTGGAGAATGAAATTCTTAAAACTGAACTGGCGGCTGGAAAGGGGAGAGAGAGAAGAGCTGGACAAGGAGCCAGGGCACTGGAGTTATATTCCACTGTTGTTCGGACCTGGAAGAAGTTGTTGAATCTCTGTAGTAGGGTTAGCTTTTAAATGCTGTGAGTCTTTGGAAAGCTGTGTGAATAACTTTAAACACCCAGGACAACTTATGCCTTTTTTGAAAAAGGTAAGAACTTATCTGTTGGAACAAAAGCTCCTCTTTTTGTTTCGGCCTTGAATTCTCAGGCAGTGAATGCACTGCTATGCACAGAAGGCAAGGACAAGGCTGAGCATGTTGGTTTCTTCACTTTTTAAGGAGTTCCCTTAAAAGGTCTGTGTCAAGGTCTTTGCATTCTGAGTCACTTGAGTTCTATTCAAAGAAGAGACAGATAAAAAATTAGCTGGGTGTAGTAGTGCACACCTTTAGTCCCAGATAGTCGGGATGCTGAGGTGGAAGGATCACTCGAGCCCAGGAAAGGTTGTGCCTGCAGTGGGCCATGATACTGCCATTGCACTCCAGCCTGGGCAACAGAGTGAGACCCCAATTCTAAGAGAAAGAGAGAGAGAGAGAGAGAGAGAGGTTGGGAGGAGGGAGAGAGGAAGGGAGAGAACTTTGGGACTTTGGCTTCTCCTTGTTTTCTACCAGACGCTTGCAAAATGGGAGCCATCCAGTGCTAAAAGAAGGCCTGGTGTTTGCTGCCTTCTCTGGAGGTTGCTTAATGGAGGCATTAGCACCTGTGTTAGACCCCACCCTACACACACACATACGTATGTTCAGTTATGTGCAGGCTTCTAGTGAGGGGCTGAGAATCAGGATGGACTGGGGACTCTGTGACTTTCATTGGCCACAGATGAGTTCACACCATTCTCTGGCAGTGGTGCATAGAGACCAAGTCCCCGATTCCCTAGCCACCACAGCTGTGCAACCAAGAACACACTGTACCTTGCGGTCAGCGCTTTTCCTCCAAGGAGGAGGCACTTCTGAGCCTGTACATGTCCTTTATGGCTTTGTCTGGGACGAAGAATGTGGCAATGAAAAGTGACCACTTTGATTGCCATCCTTAATATGGTTGATTGATTACAAAAATACCCTTTGCCCCTTCCTGAGGCCACATCTTTGCAATGTGACTTCACATTCACTCCCACCAATAAGTGGAGTCTATTTCCCCATCCCTTACATCTGAGCCTGCCTTGGGACCCACTTTGACCAACAGAATATGGTATAAGCAGTGATGTGCCAGCCCTGAGCCTCAGCCTCAACAGGTTTTGGCACTTCTGCCTTCTCTCTCAGACCCCATGATTACCAAGCATTCAAACTCACACTACTGGATGACAGACCATGGCCCAGTCACCCTGTCACCATCACTGTTTGTCAAAGAGCTGCCTGACATATGAGTGAAGCCTTCCTAGACCAAGCAGCACTCAGCCACCCTGCCAGCTGACCACAGATGCACAAGCTAGCCAAGCCCAAATCAGCCAAACCTGGCCCAAGTCAGTGGAACTGACCCAAAGGCTGGTGAGCAATAATAAATGCCTGTTGTTTTCAGTTACCGAGTTTTGGGGTCACTTACTACAAACAGCAGTACCTGACTGATACACTTACTCATGACAGGTTGGTGTAATATTAGCCTTTGGGTATTCAGATATTCTATTTCACAGACTGACTGGACTCCTACAATATATATAACTGGGATTGTTCCAGGCTCTGTGGATACAATATCTCTGCTCTCTTAGAGTTTACATTGTAAAGGATGAAGACAAACCAAAAATAAATGAGTATGTAAATAATAGTAATAACAATATCAGCATTAGTAAGCAACATACAGACCATTTAAAAGATTATATGATAAGAGTAACTGCATTACTGGTCTAGTGGCCAGGGAAGCCACGCTGGAGAAACATTTAGACAGATCTGAATGTTAATGTAGAGTGGGTCATGTAAAAGTTGGAGAAGAGTCTGGGCATGTGGCTCACACCTGTAATCTCAGCACTTTGGGAGGTTGAGGCGGGTGGATCACCTGAGGTCAGGAGTTCAAGACCAGCCTGGTCAACACAGTAAAACTTTGTCCCTACTAAAAATACCAAAATGAGCTGGGCATGGTGGTAGGTACCTGTAATCCCAGCTACTTGGGAGGCTGAGGCAGGAGAATCACTTGAACCTGGTAGGCGGGGGTTGCTGTGAGCTGAGATCATGCCATTGCACTCCGGCCTGGGCAATAAGAGCAAAACTCCGTCTCAAAAAAAAAAAAAAAAAAAAAATGGAGAAGAGCACTCCAAGCAGAGGGAATTGCAAATGCCAAGGCCTCAAGTCTGGACTAAGGTGTCTGAAAAACAGAAAGAAGACTGTGTGTGACTAGTGAGAAAGGGGGTGGGGGAATGGAGAGAACAGGTAGGGTGCTTAAGCCAATGTAAAGAATTTGGACTTTATGCTAAATGCACCCAGCAAGCTATTATCACTTTTAAAATCAGAGAGTAACATAATCTGATTAATGTTTAAATGGGATTCCTCTGGCTGATGGGCACAGAGTGGGTATTAAGGGGAAGATGTGGAGGAATTGAATCAGTGAGGAAGCTCCTATGATAATGCAGACTGAGCCAGGTTAATAGCAATGGAGATTAAGAGATCAAATATGTTTTAGAGAAAGAAGTGACAGGACTTGGGATGAACTGGATGTGGAAGTCACAGGAGAGGGAGGAATCAGGGTAACCCCTAGATCTTGGTCCAGTAACTGAAGGAACTGAAATGCAAGAAACACAGAGGAACAGATGTGGGGGCTGGACATTCAAGTCCGTGGTGCCTGTTAGGACAAAGGGGAGGGCTGGTATTTTGAGAAGGGTCAGCACTGGAGGAAGAGGTTGGATGTCACTGGCCAAAGGTGACACAAGTCTTAGACTGGATGAGGTTCCTGGAGGACAGCAATTAGGAGTGACAAGTGCCCAAGACAAAGACCTGGCCATTCCAACATTGATGGGTTGGGCAGTTGAGAGGGATCCAGCAAAGGAGATGAAGAAGAAAGAGCCAGTAAAGTGAGAGACAGATGTGGAGGTGTCTCCAAGACCAAGAGAGGACAATGGGCAAGAAGGAGGCTGTGGTCCATTGTGCTAAATGCTCCCAGTAGATATGGAGGACAAGGACTTTCCTGAAATCACTGAATTTGGCAAACATTCAAATGCATTTTGCCCTCCTTAAGGCGATAATGAATCACAGAACTAAAATGTATTGTAAAGCTATTTTCTGGACTCTCTGTCCTACAGGTCTCTGCTCCAGACATCTGGGATTCGTCAGTACTAATCCCTGCCCCTACTTAATCCTTGTTCCTTTTGGTTCAGTTATTCCCCGAACTCTGTGACTTTCTCTGCAGGTCCAGAAATATAATGACCCATCAGGTTCATCAATATCTAAATTCTCTGGAAACCATAAGCTCCCTAAGGGCAAAGCTAATGTCTATCTTGTTCATGCTGTATCCCATCACCTAGGATATTACGTAGCCACAAATACATTCTTAACAAACACTGGATACATGGAGCAATGTTTAATCCCATTTGCCTCTCTACCGTCAGTGCTCCACCCCATGTTCAGGCTGCCACTGCCTTATCCCCTGTGGACAGATGTGAGGCATTTTTTTCAACATTCACCAAGCTCCAGTCTCTCTGGGTTGGGTCCTATCTTGCTCTTCAGTGTCTTTATAGTGCAGTATGCTACTGCTAGGGCCAGGTCCCTGGACTGCAGCTGACTTCTTGGATGTAGACCTCTCACCTGTGGGCTTGCAAGACTGCTCCTTCGTAGCCTGTGGCATCCCTACAGTTGGGACAGAGTTATCCTTCACTACATCCAATGGGCTCATCTCCCTGGATTTCACCTTTAGATTTTTGTGTTAATTGTTGTGAAATCTTCCAGCTGCTTTGTATTCAATTCACACATCTGCAGGGTCTGTATGACTGGGTGATAGGAGGGGTTCGTGTCAACTTGACCTGAAATATCGTCTCCATAAAAGTCAAGTTTATAATACCTGGCAGTGGTATCAGGGAAGGTGCATGTGACTTTTTGATCCCTAAAAAGCCATTTTAGTTAGTCTGCAATTTTCACAAGGATGTTTGTGTGTGAATCAGTATCAAACGTTTCACTTTCAGGATTTCATTTGAACCCTCTTTCAAAAGAGGCTGTTTGGTAACCATTCCACATGAACCTAAAACACTCACTTGCTCACCTGAGCACAATCTGTTTTCTGGGACTTGGTCAGATGTTATGAGGCAGGGCCCTGAAAATTTAACCTCATTTAACCTGAGCAAATATGTAAATTTTTTTTTTTCAATTAAAGGCTTTGGTAATTATTCTGAGCTTAACTTGGTAACAATTTTGCTACTACCTTCTGCTGTAAGGATTTCATATTTGCTTGGCCTGGCCTGTGAAAAGAAATTATCACAGAAGCAAAATCAGATTTTGGTTGAAGTCAAGACACATATTAAATCTGATGCTTCACAGCTGAACATAAGCACCTCCACCTCCAATGGATTCCTCCTGACTGTGTGCAGACAGACACTTAATAAACATTTTTGACAAAGGTCTCTCTGTCTTAAAAGGAAATTAGATTGTTCTGACAGTATCTCCTCATCACTAAACTGCTGGTTGTCATCCAGCAGCCTGTGATCCTCTAGGTGTTTGCAAATTGACTGCTTAATGTTTTGCATTTCTCTATGTCCACCTTTTTGAGGGTGAGCAGCCACCTGTATGATTTCTGATATAGGTGATGTGTTTGTCTTTTGGTGGTGGTCTTCATCATTTCAATTACACACACTCACACACACACACACACACACACACACACACACACACATTTTTGTTTCAGAACAGTTTCCTAAGCTCCGCATTCATTCATTTTGTAAGTCTTGATACCAAACATATGGAAAGACACTGGGCTAGTCCCTGGGGATACACCAATTAGAGCGTA